ATTAAAAATTAAAAAAAAAAAAATTTGAGCAGATACTAAAAAATACAAAATATTTATAAATAAAATGTATTATTTTTTCTTTAATATATTCGATTTATTTCCATGTATATAACTAAATTTTCAAACATATCTGAGACCCGTCCCCTCTATGGGACGGCTCTGCCCGCTGGCTTATTTATGTCGCATTTTGTCAAAGCAGATTTTGATTTATGTCGTCCACTTTGAGTGCTGAATATGAAATCAATAGATCGATTTTGGGGCCGCTTAGCAAATTGAAATCGTGACTTGGGGCTTTAGATAAGACGCCGACAAAATGTAAACGTAATTCTGGGTACACCGAATCGTGTCCAGCACTAAGAGCTGCGGTGGCTGTTGCTGTGGGTTCAACGAACTATTTAGTTTATTCGCACCAAATCGAATTCATTTCAGTTCGAATTGCGCGCGAATCGGCTGTATAACAGTTTGCGAGTATAACACTTCTATTGCGGACATGGGCAGCACTGTGCCCCATGAACAGCTGTTTGGCGAGTGCGCAGGACATGCAGCTGAGAGAAGCTGTTAACAGTTAACAGAGCCGAGAGAAGTGCGAAAGTCTCGCTCTCGCTCTCGCTCTTTCTATCTCTTAGTCTCCCCCTCTCCCCCCCGCACTCTCTCTTGAGAGACTCATTTAATGCTCGACTTGATGACTAACGCCAGTGTCTCCAGCTCCGGCTACGGCTACAGCTGCGTTTAGCGGCCCTGCTTGCATGCACGCTAGCACGGCGGCATGAATTGGCCACGATTGGCTAAGCAAGCGACGGAAAAAGACGTCAAAATGCGTCCACAGCTGCCAGAGACAACATTTGCCCAGCAAAAGCGAAAGTCGAGCAGGAGGCGATTTCCATGGGTTTTGCATGGGCGCCAAAGGAATCGAACATGTAATTAGCGCCTATACTTGACTTAACACACACACACACACGCACACACGCACGCACATTCCTTGTTGGCGGCTGCATTGGCGCACTTCAGCGGCAAGCACATTACGCATACGCCCCGTTGGCCCGCAGAGTGCCAAAAAAACAAACATAAAAGACGAAAAAAATGGCAAAGCGAGCAAAAGCACAACAACAACAACAACAAGAAGAGACTTAAGCTTAGCATTAGATAGCGGCTGCTGCAGAGGCGTGGCTTTGGATGTTAGGGGGTGTAGGTGCTGAGGGGGAGGTGGGCTGAGTTTCGGGTGGGTTGAGGGGTGTAGGGGGTGGCTTGGCAGGGATGCGTCATTCACTGGCAATTTACACGCTTTTTGCAAGTAATTTAATTTCAAATATGCGGCGTGCTCTTATTCCTTCATGTTGTTGTTGTCGCCGCGTCGGTGGGCGTGGCAGCTGAAATTGCCGCCTTAGCCTGTCTAATGCTAAGTATGTGCGTGCGTGTGTGTGTGTGTGTGTGTGTGCTTTGTAAGTGTCATTAACACAGCAAAGCGACCGCAAAAAAGCGCAAAAGCATCTCCAGCTAAATAATACGCATACATATGCATAACTCTGGCTTTAACTAAGCGTTGAGGTGTGTGTGCGCATGTGTGTGTGTGTGTGTGTGTGTGTGTGTGTGTGTGTGTGTGTGTGTGTGCAAGCTAAGCAGCTACACAACTAAAAAATAAAATGAAAGAATGAAACAACAAACTAACAAGTTCGCAGCTCTCGCAGCTTTAAAAGCCGGCTGACCGGGCATGCTCGACGTGCAGATGCTCTGTAAGTGGGAATTATGAGAATATTGATTAGACTAAAATATCTAGAATATCTTATATTATGCTCTCTCACAATCCTTAGCAGCTTCTTCTTCTTCTGCTGTCAATTACCTTCTCATGATTTCTTTGACTTTTTGGCCAGACCCCTCTATGCCCTCCCATTTTCTCAACAGCAGCAACAGGCGGAATCAGCTTCAGCAACAACTATATTTCTCCCACTCTCGTGGAGTCGTATACTATATATTTAGTTGCTTGTTTTTAATATTTCACTTAATCAATTATTTAGTTTATCTTTTTGTTTACCGCAATTAATGTTTTTTCATTTTTTTTTTAATTTTTAATTTCTATTTCTATCGATTTATTGATCTCTTGCCCTAGGCAATTAGCCTTATTAGTTGATTTCTTCCACCTATAACTAAAGTATATATCAGTCAATCATATGACATTTCCCTATCTACATAAATGCAATTGCATATAGGGTAATAATTGTTGGAAATTTATTTTGCTCTAAGCTAACTTTCGCTTGATGAAATGCCTTAAGATAATCCTCATATGTTCAATCCTCATATGCTCAATCCTCATATGATCCTCATATATCATATACATATATAGGGTGACCCGGAAGATGCCGACACCATTCAAGTTTGCTCAAGGGATAAGAGTTTTCGTCGCAATAGCCGTACGGACGCTATAACCGGACTCTACTGTATCTGCCAAATTATAGAGCTGACTCTAGTATAAAGCGATTAGGGACTCTGAAATTAGCCTTTCATATAATTATCTAACCATAGATGTACATCATTTGTGACTGTTCTAGGCATACCCTATGTATACAGGGTATCAAAACGTTGACAAAACACAAAAAAGAAAAGAGAAATGTCATATAAACTAAAGCTAAAACCTAAGAGCCAAAAAATACACAAGTGCCAAACGTGTGTGTGTGTGTGTGTGTGTGTGTGTGTGAGTGTGTGTATATATCAGCTGAAGAGATGATACAGATTGCAGGGCATTTAGTTATGCAAAAGTGTTTTATCCTGAGCTCGAGCCCTCGCGGCTGCCCCCTCTCAGTCAAGAGTTGCTAAAATAGGACACCCACACACACACACACACTCACACCCACACAGACAGAGAGATACCCGCAGGGTGCTGACATTTATGACTATGATAAGACATTTTTTTTTTCGCATTATTATTTTTATTAAAATTATCATCGTCAAGAAATAATGTGTCATAGCCAAAAATATAAAAAATAAAAAAAAGGGAAATTTGATTGAAAATTGCATTTGACGTTTTTTGCGCAGATATCAGATTTCAGATTTCCTCGCTTCAATTTCATGTCAGCTCATTAATTATGCTTAATCTCTTAACGAACGCGATAAAGAAGTCTCTAGAGAAGCGGGAAATAAACATTTTAATGTGCGATTTTATCAAAGTTTTTATTTCTTATGGGATGATGATGCTCAATGAAATTAAGTGACAACACTTAGAGGAATATCATAATAGATTAAAGACAATCTTAGTAGACTGATAATAGCTAATATTATTTTCAAGAGCTGTCCGATTTTTAAAAGTAAATATCTTGATATCCATATTACTATAGTCTAGATACTCCCAATGTAGTTCCTTCAATTGAGAGAGCTCTATATCCCCTCTTGATATCATCTTATGGTTATAGGACATCGTGACTCTCTGTTCTCTCCTCGCCCGCCCTTCATTTGTCCACTTAGACTAAGCCCTATAGATACTAGCAAGACCGGTTAATGCTAGTTCTTGGTCTAAAAATAGTTGGATTGCCTCAAAAATCGATATTCGCCAATGGGCGGTCGAAATAATTTATTAATCTATTTGGGCAGGTCAGTCAATAGTGTTGCAGCTGCGAGACTGGGTGATTGTGACGATATGGATTTGTAAAATATAGATATTGCTTTCAGTTGAAGACGATACTTGTCTAGGCGGACGGATAGGCTTATGAACTTACGGACGGATGGGCGAATGGAAAGACGGACAGAGTTACGGACGTATGAATGGAATAGATGGGCAGGTGAACAAATGGACAGAATGACGGACGGACAGCAAAAGGGGATGAGCATAGATATAGACAGACAGACAGAGCAGACGGCTAAATGGAAAGGTTGGCGGACAGACGGACGGAAGAGCATGCAGACGGTGGCTTAGAAAGGCAAAGAGCTGAAACAGACAGATGGGCGGATATAGTGCTAAATAGGCCGTCGTAGAAAAGGACGGACAGACAGAAGAATGGAAAAAGAAAAGGGCAGACAATAGGAAAGGGGGAAAGACGGAAAGCCACAAAGAAAAATATGCCTGCAAATAAAGTTGAGGCCGCTCGACTATGAGATCCCCTGGACCTATCAAAGACCTGATATTCTATGCTCATACGGACGGATGGATGGACAGGCGGGCAGATGGACAAGGGTATATCGACTTACTTGTGGGTGTGCCACGCCTCCATCTGCCTGTTACACACATTTTAATAAGCCCATCATGCCCTGCTCTTCCATTTTCAAAGGGGTTCAGGGTATAGAAACTATTTTACTGCCGATCCTAAAAATGAGGCCCAAAAAGTCGTAATTAAATGCCCTGAGCAAATCGAGCAAAAAACCAGAATAAAAAAAAAAAAAAATCAAACAAAAAGGGAATTTAAGAGAACACGAATATTTATGGCAATAAACTATTGTAATCAAAAGTTCAGGAATTTGTTCGGTTGTGTTGCTCGAATGCCGTCGATTGTTGATTGAATTGAATGAAAATGTTGCTCGTATATTTATTGTTAATTTGGCAGCTGCCGCTGACAACAAATGCTGTGGCTAATAGCCAATCATGCCACGCCCCCTTGTGACCGCCGACGCCATTGCCGCCCCATCAGCCTTCCATTTATTTTCGGACAATTGTTTTTGGTGACATGCCAGAGCGTTTATTGCGGCGATGTCGAATCAGATCATTGGCATCGAAACGATTAAGCTGCAATTTTTGTTTTCATATTTATTATTTCATTTTATTTCATTTTTTTGAATACCCTGTAAACTAGAAGTGACTGTCAAGGGGTAGCAGCTGTTTGCCGATGCTCATTGGCTGATTCGGAATTCATTATATTCATTCCCGAATGTGAATGGGCGTTGATCCCATTGGGGGCATGGTCCATCGGAAAAA